GTTTTTTCTTTTTTTTTTTTTTTTTTGACCTCGCGGTCACACTGAGTGATTTTTTGACAAAATGTTTTGTTGCTAAATCACGAGGACTGGAAATTAATCCATCATGAGAGCGATGGGGGTGCATCTTGATCCTGAGAACAGCAGTAAAGGAAGCTGTTTAGGGAGTACAGGAATTCTGGGATGAGTAACACAGGCACAAAATATTTGGTACTTCAGCTCTACAAATATACGTGCCAATTCAAGTATGTATGTGCATAAATTTAAGGATATGAAGAGTGTCAGTGCCATCAGTGCGATATGTGTTACTCTTGCTGCAATGCTGTTCCACGGTAGGACCAGGAGGACACTACCGCTTGAGAAAAGGCTGGTTTTCATACTATCTATTTTCATACATACATTTTATCATCGTGCGTTTCTCAGTAATTACCCTTTCCCACGAGCAACCCAGGAGGACGTTGCATGGGATTGCAAACAGGAGACGGCTCCCAACATCTTGTAAAGACCCCTTTTTGGGTGGGAGATGGGAGAGTAGCGCTGGCGAAGGTAAAGGGCTTTGTTGGCAGGCTGGCAAAGTGGTTGTGAGTGCTTATCAGGAGTGCTGGGAAAAGGCAGGCTGCATCAGCGAGACTTCCCAGAATGGATGCGGCCTCAGAGAAGTTAATGAAAATGGTGGTTTTCTTGAAAAGCTTGGACAAAAACCAGTCTGTATTGCTCCCAGATACATCCTGATTATTCAACCCCCAAAGTGAAACTATTTACGTATTTAAGTTTGTTTAAATTGAAGTTTGGATTTGTTTTTTCCTGGTTTGATTTTTCCTAATTAATTTTTAGGGGAAAAAAATTCTTTAAAAAAGATCCAAACCAAGAGTTTTAGTGCTTTTAGTCAGATCAATGCTAATTAGTCTTAAGCAGCCAAAAAAAAGTGAATTAAGGTACTAGTTCTGGTTGAAGGTGTGCCTTAGCAGAGTCTGCGCGCCACCGTGAAAATGAGTTCTAATTTCTAGTTTGTAATTTCCCCTGCATTTGTTTTTCTCTCTCCGCAACCCTACAAAGTACCCTACCCCCAAACTTACACAACTGCCATCTCTTCCTTCCCTGACCCCGAAGATAATAATGATTCTCTTTTGATCCATCCTTCTGCTCAATCAACCCTTTGCAGCAGCTCAGAGCTCTGACATGAGCCCATACATGAAAGAAGGCTGCAAATGAATCAGAAAGCAGAACGCGGCTGTCGGGGGGGCTTTCTCGCTTACCGACAACCTCTGCAAGCTGCGTCACCTTCCCCTCCTTCGCCTGGGCTCCCTCCTTCTGTTGTGAAGGCAGAATACGTTGCTGGAGCCAGACAAAAGAAATAATGTTATTTAATTAGAGCTAAAGATTTCAAAACTAATTTAGTCCCAGGGCGCACGGGCGTACGTCAGAGCTGCTGCAAAGCGTTGATTGAGCGGAGAGATGTTTTTACGGATCAAAAGGAAATCGTTATTATCTTTGGGGTTATGGAATGTGTTGAATAGATGGTAGTTAATGTTTATGTGAATATACATGGTAGTTGCTAATTGGTACATTTACCTAAGATGTTCAGCAACTTACATTTGCAGCGTGTTTTCCTTTTAAGAAAATTAAAGTTATAGCGCATTCAACTTAAGCCCGATCGATAAGAAAATGGGGCTTTGCAACCTGCTGGTAGCACATCTTTCACGTCAGATGTATTTTTGCAGATGTTCTGGGGAAATTTAAGGCTGGTTGGGGAGGTACGAGCGGTAATCCACACCCTCGGAAAGGGACTGGAAGGTCGTTAGCGGTCAGCAGATCGCACTTCGATACCTTTGCGGTAGGATGGCGTGTCCTGCTGCACCGGCAGCGAAGGCAGATGTTGCTGCGGGTGGTCTGCGGTCTGCATTTTAGCCAGCCCAATGGAGGGGAATAGAAATGGCCCATTAAGAGTAGATGCCTCCAACACCCCCTGTGTTAAGAGCTAGTGCTGGCTCCTGACAGCCGGTTACAGCGTGCAGTGCGTCAAGCTAAACTTACTGTCCCGTAGGGAGGCAAAGTGCGTGTTTGTACAGAAAAATGGAGAGACGTTTTCAGTGGTTACAGATGTGTAATGCCACCAGCTGTGCAGACATTCCTCCTCTTTGGATCTGGTGCGTGCCGACTCTGCGAGCTTGCTTTAGTCGTGAGCTAAGCGGCCATCTCGGGGGGGGAGGGAGGTGGGCCATGGATCTCCCAGATTTCATCTCAGTGGGTTAGGAAGGGATGTGACAGGCTACCTGTGCCGCCTCATTTGGAGAAGTCGCTTGTGGGGCATTCCTTTTAGCTTTTTATTGCCATCAGAGGTGATTTGTAAATCCAGGAGGGATTACTTGTATAAATTAGTTGTAAAAGTCCTTTGCTCGAAACCCAGCCTGACTCAGGCATCCCACTGCCCGCGCTCCCGGGAAGCCCGGGCTGCCTTCTCGGTGCCTCTGGAGAGGGAAGCTGGGTTCTCTCAGTCATGACCAGGAGGGAGACTTCAAACAGGAGGATATTGCTCACACCTCCAGCATCCTGGCAGGTAGGAGGGGATGGAGACCTCCCATCCTGGAGGCTTTCTGATTCATCTTTGACGTTCAACCAAAGTCTAAATCGTCCCAGTCTGCCCAGCTTCACCTGAGGCTGCAGACATCGCCTAGGCAGGAGAGGATCCCTAAGCCATCCCCAAATCTGTGTGCAAAACTTGCAGCTCTCGAGGAAACGATTTGTCACAGCCGGGGCAGAGCTGGGAGGCTCTCGTGGCTGGGAGCCCGAAGTATGCCGCTGGGTTTGCCAACAACTCGAGCGGCTCATCAGCCAGCCAGGGATGTTGAAGGCAGTTCTAGGGAACCCCATCCCCCTCTATCACACCCTAGCCTTGTCTCTGGAAAACACCTTGCCTGTATTTTTTTGCATGGGTTGGTGCTGCCTTGTCCGTTCTTGCCAGCTTTTCCACTTCCTTGGTATCACGAAATCCCCTAATGCCTCCCAATTCAGTTTCCAACAGCTGTCATTCATGTCTGACAACAGCTTTACGGGGCTGATGCCTCCTACTTCCCTGCTCAGATGCAGAGCACCTGCATTAATATTTTAATTAAATATTTAAGGTTTTGTCACATTGTTTTCAAATCTACATGGTTAAATGTAGTGGAACAGATCATTCCGTAGCCTTGGAAGTCCAAACACTCAAACAGATGAGCCTATTAGTGTCATCAGCGTCAGGAGAAGTCTTTTATTTGTAGAGTCTCAGGGACAAATACCGCTCAGGAACCTGGCTAACCCATCCCAAAGTTGAAGGACCCCCCTTCTCCAGGTATCCTTCACCTTCCCTCCTACCATTGCCCAAATTGTCCAGGGAAGGAGCTGCTGCTCTCTCTCCTAGGGATGTCTGTCCAGCGAGGAAGGCAACGGCTGATAAAAGCTGATGAGATAGGATTTGGGACATGCAGAGGCATGCATGTTTTCTGCAAGCAAAGGATGTCAGGGCAGCAGTTTGGCAGGGGAACCCAAGCCAGGCAGACTCTGGGAAGTCACTGGAGGGCTATTTGCTACCTGGTACACCTTTAATGGCAGGGCTTCTTAATTTATGATCTATTTAACTAAGCTGGGGTATTAAATAAAGAAAGAGCCTGATTAGGACTTGAAGAAATTTAAAAATAAAATCAGACAGCAATCGGGTGAAATTGCAAAGCAAACACTTTGGCTGTAACCACTGGAGAGTTCCTCCGGTCTTCCATCAAAGCTCGGAGCAGGGAGGGCAAATACAAGAGATTATATAGCCAACAGATGTGTGTTGTTAAAATATGCATCTGCCAGCCGTGTAGTTTAAGGAGCCAGAGGGCTAGCTCGTGGATCCTTCTGCACTCGGGGGACCGTGAATGAATTCGAGGCCCCGCCAGCCGAGCTGGGATTTGCAGACACGTTAATTAGTGTTGAGTTCCCAGATCTCGAAGGCAGCCAAGTGAGGAGAAACTTTGAAGAGAGCATTGGCTTCCCCGGGAGGCAGTAGAGGGGAGGGGAAGAGGGGAGCCCCGGCTCGCCGTGCCAATCTGGCAGCGGTGTTGCAAAGCCTCAGCCCATGACGGTCAGGGGTAGGCAGGACCCGCAGCGCCAGGAGAGTGGTCAAGCAAAGCAGACGGACGGCGAGGCGTTGGGGAAGCTGGATGGTAGCGTGGTTGCTCTTCTTCACTGGCGTCTTGGCAGGAGCATCCCAAGCCTGTCCTGGTCTGTGGTCCTCAAAAGGCAGGGAAAGGGTCGTGGAATCATGAAAACTGATGAAGAGCCGATCATGGTGGGACAAGCCATCCTTCACTACACACCGCAGGCTCTGTCTTCCGTGGTGTTAAACAGTTTCTCGTGAGCATCGTGCAGGTGCCAAAGGGTTTGGCCAGGGGAGGGCTGGAAGGGGCCCCAGCACGAGATGTGATGCCTTCAGCCCTGCCTTGTACCACGGGCTGTCCCAGCAAGCTCCTGTATGCCACTAGCTCTGCAGCTCGGTGCAGGGAAAGGGTTGGTCCCAGAGAGATGCTGGTGGGAACTTGGTGACAACCAGGACAGGGGGACCATGGGGGTGTGAGGAGGGAGGCAGAGGAGCTACTTCCAGAGACTTAAGGTGAATAATTGATAGGCAATTAACTTGTACATTCACCTTTTATAGTCTAATTCCCTGTCTCCTCCCCCTCCATGGCCTCTTCTAATATTAACTCTGCCTTCATGTGTGTCCCATTAGAAATAAAGCTTTCTTAAATCAACATTAATTATTTAATGCTACAGATTAACTTAATTTGAAGTGAGAGCTCCTGTCTTTTAAGCTGGCACAAGCCAGGGACAGGAGAAGAGGAGGGTCACCTAGGTGTCAAGTGCATTCACGTTCAGTCACGACCC